TGTCGGCTGGCATCATTGCTGGCTGGCATCATTGTTGGCTGGCATCATTGTTGGCTGGCATCATTGTTGGCTGGCATCATTGTTTGCTGGCATTATTGTTGGCTGGCATTATTATTGTTGGCTGACATCATTGTTGGCTGGTATCATTGTTGGCTGGCATCATTGTTGGCTGGCATCATTATTGTTGGCTGACATCATTGTTGGCTGACATCATTATTGTTGGCTGACATCATCGTTGACTGGCATCATTGTTGGCTGGCATCATTGTTGGGTGGCATCATTGTTGGCTGGCATCATTATCGGCTGGCATCATTATTATTGGCTGACATCATCGTTGACTGGCATCATTGTTGGGTGGCATCATTGTTGGCAGGCATCATTGTTGGCTGGCATTGCTCCACGATACAGGGCTTCCTAACGAAACGTTCTTGGAAAAAAATTAAAACGCGGTTGATTTAAAATCCTATCTAACCTCCAACCGTTGCTGTTTCACTAAAAGAGATGTTTTCTCTTTTTCTTTAAATTTAAACAATAGAAAGCGTACGCTCGACAGCCTTATAACAGCTTGACAATTTTGAATATTTGTGCTTCGGGTCACGGATGGCTTTTTGAACTTTGCACATTATTATTGTAGAGATCCAAGATCTAAGAAAAATGATATTGAGTATTAACATCAAAGCAGCTTCGTTATAAAATTTTCCACCGTGTCTTCCCTACTGTCAACAGTAGTTAACTTGATCATCTGGCAGAGGAAATTTTGAATGTTTGACAGTTGCAAAAATTGCCAGGTCACACAACCAATTGACGTAAACTATGTCTAATGAAATTAATCGCTAAAGCAGCAGCCTTCCTGAGACGACTTTTCGTTTGCATACTGAGAGAGGCCAAAGAAGTGTAATCATTTAAATACGCACAAAACTTGTAGTTCATCCGATGTGACAGTTTGAAGATAACGATGGCAAAGTTTCTGTTGCTTTTTATCGCATTTCAGGTATTTCCTTCGCGAACTCTTAAAGGAAACGTCTTAACAAAGTAGAGTTGTTAGAGCAAACATGGCCGATGATGGACGAAGTTAATCGAGGCATTACTAAGTCTAACTTAATTCATTTTTAACAGGAATTCGTCCTTGTTGCTGAAAGTTTCGTAACTCGTAAGTACTCATTTGTTTCCATTTTAATTTGTAAGGATTTTTTACTCGTGGGACATCTCATTGAGCTTATAACGAAAAGCATCTATAAGATATGAAACCTGTCTTAAGGGAGAGCTTTCTTACAAATTTTAATGAATGCAAGGACGTTGTGGTATCGATTCAATACAATAGTAAAAATTAGTCAGATAAATTATGCTGTTATGAAACGCAAAAGAAAGTTCATCTTAAAATGTGTTACCGTCGGAGCTGAAAAAAGGCCTAAAAAGTAAAAAACAACCTTTGAGAAATTTCCCCCAGCTCCATTTTAAACTTTTCGCTGTCATCCTCTTGCAGAAAATAGATTTCGTCCAAGCGAAAAATAGAGAAGAACAAAAGTTAGATCACAGAATAGTTTGAATGACCAAGTCGGTTATGATCGTAAACTTTATTCTCCTTCGAATGAGGGAAGTCTTTGACTTAACCACTTGTTTCGTAATATCAACGCCGAGTCTAAATGTTAAAAAACAATGCGGCAAAACTTTGTGATCCTGTCCCCCAGAAACCGTTTTCTTCTTCATATTACGTGGTAAAGGAACTTAGAAGCCGGATAAATATATCTTATTAGACGTTTTGTTGTGTAGTATCGCTGAGTATTTTTACGAGTTGTGCCGTATTTTTACGAGGTCGTGGGGTGGGTCAAAATTCAAATAACTCAAACAAAATTTGAAAATACGAATAACTCAAACAAAATTTGAGGACGCCGAATATGTTTAAATATTTTGATGCCGTAGTTAAAATTCAAGTTTGATTTTAAAGTGCCCTTCATTATAATATTCCTTTTCCATCATGAGGCTGCCCACGCGAGTGGTATAGACGAAACAAATCATTGTTTGTGGCCGGCTTTCTTACTTTGTAACTATTCAACAAACCAAATTTTAATATATCAACAAAGTTGAAATGGTATATTGGCCACCGTTACGATTATAAAAGCTGACGTTTCGAGCGTTAACCCTTCGTCGGAGCGAATGACGAAGGGCTAACGCTTTTATAATCGTAACGGTGGCCAATTTACCATTTCAACTTTGTTGATATATTCAAATTATTTCGTTACCCCCACCGACGCAGCCTCTAACAGTTTCTTTAGAAACTGTCAGCCTTTATTCAACAAACATGTTTTTCACAACAGCGGTGAAAAGTGCTTTTTTTTTTTCTTGGAAATGGAGCCGCAAAACACTGCAAGTACTCGTTTTTAACATACCGAGAACAGAGAAAACGGTTGCTCGTAAATTTATTCAACAATTCTTCGAAATCATCGCTTGGCCAAAATTCACGTCGAGTTCAAAGTCTGCCTAGCTTCGTAGCCCCTCGTCCGAGTAATGTTGTCAAACTTTTGCAAAAATTTCTAAGCTAAGTACTTCGCCTCTGTTTTCGAGGAGGAATTGAAAGTGTCTATCAATAACCAAGCTTCCGAAAAAAAAAACACAAACAAACAAACAAAAAAAAACAAGAGGACAAGTGTAAACATTCTGTATGGTTATCTGAGGGAGATGAACCTGATAAAACCGCTTCGGCCAGAGTTCTGAAGAAGTTTTAGGCCGCCGTTAGCAAAAGTGATGACAGCTCGTACTCGAAAAGTTCAATGACTTCTTTACAATTTGGACTCAACAATCATTTTCAGAAAAAAGGAACTGACATTATCAAAGACCCAGAATTCACCAAGGCGAACAAAGTATTTGGAGCAAAGTGTATTGATTTAAAACGGCGGGGTTTGGCGAAGATTTAACACAAACCCGCTATTTCAAAGACGATTTTATTAGAAAGCTGTACTAGTGTGGTACTAGATGACCCCAGAACACTTTAAAACAAAGAGTTCGAGAAAATGCTTTTCTTGCGCCGCAGTGGCAAGTAGCTGAAAATGAAATACTTTTCACTCACAACAGATGACAAAGGCGCTCCACACGTGTGCAAACCAGAGAAGTATATTCTTTTTCAATCTTTTTAAAAAAAAGTATAATAAAAATTTACTGAATTCGGTTTTCACATGATATCATGAATTATCAAACCTCGTTTCTGTGTTATTTGTCTCAGCCCTCGGCTTCGGCAGATGACTCAGACCTCGGTTTTTATAATTCCCGATATCATGCTCAACCTCCTCCAATAATTGCTTATTATTGTATTCATTGTACTGACTGCAAAAGAAAAATTAATGTTCATGTTCAGACAAAAAATTTTGAAGAAAAAAAGGAAAGAGAAACTCTTCCACGCATGTGTAATTTGAGAAAATACATTCAACTCCTATGGCTTTGTATGATGATTTGTTTCTTTTTCGTCACCAGCCTTGTTTAAGAGACAAGTACAAGTGTTTGTGTTGAGAAATAGATCAGACTGTTGTGTAACAGAGGAAATGTGCGACCGCTCTACTTGTCGCCTGAATTGGGCATCCATATCAAGGGAAACCAGTTGAATGTTTTTTTTAGTTATAGCAAAATACCACTTTTCTACTTCAGGTGGTTCCTTCATATTAAATAACGGTGAAGTCCTTGAGATCAACACGACTGCTCCATACATTAACTGCCCTTCATTCCGCAATTACACTTCGTCACTTCAAAACAGAAGCTCTCCACACGGCAGCCATCTTGTTGCTCATATAGATTTCGGTGGCAGCATTGAGTTCAGGAGCGGGTCTAAAGTTAAAGTGTTCGGGAAGTATGCTCTGAGTATTACAAGTCAGAATGGAAACATCTTAGCACACGCTGATGTCAATATGACTTGTGGACAGAGCGTGTTTGATACAACATGCCTTGGTGGATTCACTCAAAACTCGACAGGATACAAAGACTATCATCCAAGAAAATTATACAAAGGTAAGTGCCATGGTAAAATACTCGTACATGTCCAAACAAACCACGCTCTTTAATATACTTCCAAACAAAACGAATCGAACTAAACAATTTAAGCGAAGTGAACAAATGAAGTGGTTGCTAAGATAAAATTAGGAATAGTAAGTGACAGCAAGAATACGTTAAGAAAACAAAATAAAGGACAACAAAAGACGCTCACAAACGTAGCACGAGATCAAGGCAATAACAAAATTCTCGAACATGATTGAGCTTGGTTGGTTATCATCAGCCCAATTTGAGCACTAATAGAACAGTGTAGGCGTCATACTCGTAATTGGACGGTATAGTAGGACAATTGACCAGTCATGCCTAAGTAAGGGGACAGTACACTTCATGTGCACGTGCTGTTGTCGCGCATTTCGCCTAGTTATAACTGTTTTTTTTTTATGAAAAAGTATAACCGATGTCTAGTTTCTTTCTTAAATGTTGTCATAGTTTTTTGATTAAATGGTAAACAGGACTTCGTTGTGTCCAATTCTTTCTGTAATTAACATATCATAGTGAAACTGGTACAAACTTGATAACCCAGCGATTCAACGCTTTTTCCTAAGATAGCGTTTGCTCGACAGGGTATAGATAATCAAAACAAAGCTGCAACGTTTTGCGGCAGTCATGGCTCTTAACTGCACATTTGATTCTTTAATAATGCTTGTATCACTATAGCTGTGCCCGCACGAGGTATCAGATATAAATTTTACACCTTTGAAAGCTTTTAAAAATCAACTGAAATCGTCCGATTTGCCAAGTTTTGTCTGTAGTCATACTCGTGGTTAACAAAGCGGACTCCCGCTTCGCGGTCGTCGATCCGATATTGTTCATGAGCTCGCATGATTACTGACTGAATTACTCCACTCAGTCCTATTACCATTATTACTTAGCGTCGTTACGAGAAATGCGATTAAAAATGAAACCGTCTGCTTTTTTTCTGCTGCCTTATTGTCTTACCTTGACCCGTTTTTTAAGTTCCTTGGCCTCTCCATGTCACGATTCTTTAGCCGATAATGTAGGCTCTCTTTTTATCCATATTCTTTTTCCCTTTTTCTGTTATAATTTACCATCAACATGGGCGAATGCCCTCGTGCTGATAATCCTTCTTCATTTCTATAGGTTGTTTGAACCTCTCCTTCGTCTTCCAAAACTTTAGGCTCGCAGTACTTGTTTGTACTTGATTTAACGTTTGTTTTTGTGATACTAGCAAATACTGCAAAGTCGATCCAAAAGAAAATCCTGTTTTTCCTCCTACGGAGGGGTTGAAAACAAACGTAATTCTCATTCTATCAACATTTAAATTTCTTTTTTTTTACAACTTTCTGCATATCGTTTTGGATCAAGAAACATGCCATCGAGCAATCACCGTCTGTTATATTCTGTATATGTGCACTTTCTAATTTATTCCTTTTAAGGTAATAACGTACGTATTTGAGTCTGCAAAAAGAAAAATCAGTGGTAATTCATATTTTGTTCGTGGAAAATGACCTAGTATGTTCCTTTCATCACCAGAGTTGTGTAAACTTGAGCCCGAAGAAGGCCGAAGTCTGAACACGAACTTCAGTATCACTTGCACCGGTGGAAATCCTCTTTATATCGTAAGATACGAGTTTAGTTACGTACTTCAGAATGGCCTACACGAAGTATTATACCAAGGAAGTGAGCGTAGCTATCGTACAGTGTTACTCAGTGGTATTTCTACAATAAAAGCTGTGATCATCGATGGTAGAGGAAACAAAACAGAATTCAGCTTGAACGTAAAGGTTGGTGGTTTCTTTTATAAGACTTTAAAAAAAATTGTTGGTACGATCGCTACGAGGAAACACAAATTTAGATGTCCGGGCTAAAATAAATCTTTCGAGTTCAAATTCAAATTCAAATTTTATCTATTTGCTTTTTTAGCTAATTTATGAAGAATTTAACGATTGTTCAATGTATGGCGAGATGAACTGTCGTCAATTTTTTTTAAAGTGGGTTTTGAGAGGGTTATTTTTTCTCTTTGAAATCAAATCGGTGAGTTAAACACAAAGTTTGAAAAATAATAAACTTCACTCCATGCAAATCCGTAGCAGATGGCAAAATAATTTTTTTAACTTTCGAGTATTGTTTTTCTGTTGAAATAGTCTTTTTTTCCATCTGCCAGAAGTGATTTACTTGGAAAAAAAAATTAAGGTAAAAAAAAAAGAAAATAGACTACAATCACAAAAGAAAACAATACACTACATCTTACACTAGAAAACAGAGATAGGTTAACTTTTGAATATAATGTCAATTTATTTAAACTAAATAAATTTTAGTTAATTGGCAACTCTTAATATTGTTGTCATGAGTCTGAAAAAGGATTTCTTTTATTTAACTGTAGTGTGACATGTCACACCTGTCACGTGACCCACTATCAAGCAATGGACTGTAAGCATAGTTGCTGTAGACTTCATTCAGTAATTCTTGCTTGGATTTTCATAACCAAAATCCAAAGTTTCCCTCCCATCCCTCCCTTTATTCAGACTCCTAATACCTGCCATACCAAATACTAGAGAGCACTTCTTAGAAGTTTTATCATAGGCTTGTTTAAGTTGTTTAGGTGATCTTATTATATTTCCTTCTAAATGTTTCTACTAACATTTTTAAGCTTAAAAGTTAGACGTTTCAGTTTCAATAAACTGGGAATGGGGAAAAAGTTCTCTTGTGTCACACTTTGGCCCCCACAGACTCGTTTTCCTTATGCACTACTCCCTCATTTTAATACTGCTTGGACTTCTCAGGAGGATTACTACCTCCTCTCTACCCAGCAGCACATTCATGTGGGGCATGCCGGGAAGCTACTACCTCTGCATGCTGAGGAGCCACTACCTCTTAGGAGCTATTACCTCTTTCGCATGACTGACTCTGGGCTTTAGCTTTTAGCCAGTTTATGCATGTCATATATCATGATCCAGCAGTTTTTATATTGGGGCTAAAAGTGATCATTCATTTAAAATCACTGAGCACTTTGTTACCCACTTCCCTTTGGCATCCACGTCCAAGTTATTTGTTAATTCACTTACTACTTGTGTTTCATGCACCTAAGAGGAAGTCAATTAATTAAAATGTTACTCTTGTTCAGGTTAAATCCATAGCGTCAACTTGCGAAGACTGGATCAGGAAAATAAACATGTACTTTAGAAGGGGAGATAAAACTCTTGGCGCATGGTCTTTGCTAGAAAGTTTACTTTCGATTAATGGAAGCGTTAAGAAGTGTCCTCAGGTTGGTATATCAGTTTTCAACTCAAATTTATTTCACTAGCAACTGATGTATAGAAATGATCATTCCAGGAAAATATTTTCTAGCATTGGGATTAGATACGTTCATTTTTATTTTGGAATTGGTTTAAACTTACGAGTGGTGTCCTATGAAGAAGTGCAAGCCTACACTGGAGAGTGGACTGAAATCAGTTTCTATTTCCAAATTATCTTATCTAACTCAGTCCTACGTTCATGGTATAGCTCTTTAAAAACTCAAAATGGTCGGTATGTTTTGGAAAATAAAGAATCGTAGGAAGACAGGATTGGTTTTGTGATCGATCACAAAGTATAGAAAAAAGTCTATTCCTTTTAATTGTACAGCTGGACGAGATTGTCCTTAACCTGACATCAGACATGAAGATGGAAACTACCCAAGATGTCCTTAAAGTTACTTTACTTCTTGGTACTATGTTGGATGGAATGGAAGATGTCTCTACGTCTGCACTAGTGAGTTTCCCCGAGCTTTGAATACCTCAAGTAACTTTACATTAAAGCTGTTTTGTTTAGCTTCGAAGAATAATTATCTAATTTTTAAGGCTCTCTGGCTACCATGATGCGACAGGCGCTCGACAGGAGGATTCGTATGATATCAAACCTTCATTTAGTGTAGCGTTCGATAACTTGTTTCGAAATTGCGTCAAAACTCCAGTCATCTTCACTGGGTTTTAAACAGTTAACATCTAGACCACAGCTTTATTGTTATTATTTACTAAAAATCGATATTTCGTTTGCACTTTTTGAACGCTTGCGATCATTTGAACAACCGAAAAGCCAACGATTTAAACTGTGAACATGGCGGCTTTAAGTGATCGCGGCGGATGACCTCGGAGACCATAGCTTTTGAAAGTTGTGCATTTGAAAGAATCAGTCCGAGAATACTGGAGGAGCAGCAAGAATTCATTGGAATGTGTCGGGAGGAGGTTTTTATTACTGCAAGGAGTGACATTTCAAATCTCATTATTCTTAAAAGATTTGTAATGTACCTTTATATAATTTCAAATGCACAACCGTTAAATGCTCATTTGCAAGTGAAGATGACATGAGAATGTCGAAACATGTCTTGTAAATTTAAATTCAAAGTTGCCGTTTCTTTTTTGAGAGTTACCTTCAAAGATAATGAAGAAAAGAAAATGTTTAACAACTGGTTCGTTCAGAGGTTCGTACCACATATGGACGCATTAAATTGAAAAGAAAATGTAATCAAGGTGTAAATGTCCTCACCCAGATTCTCCCGCTGGCTCTTTAACTCGTACATATACCACACATGGACGCATTAAATTGAAAAGAAAATGTAATCAAGGTGTAAATGTCCTCACCCAGATTCTTCCACGATGCGATCATGAAAGTTTATTCTAGCCATTAAAAAGTTTGCTTTTATTTGTTATAGAGAGTATTTAAGCTAATTTACTGGTATGAAACTAACAACTCAATCTCACGAGGATCGAGAAAGATCAAGTATTTTATCAAAATCTAATTGATGATGTTTCAGTTTTTCTGATCTGGAGCAGCGAACTCAGGGCTGAGGAAGATTCTTTGCACCATAAGTGCAAGTTATAAGTCTTCGCCGGTAAAAGCTGAACATTTCTCACACGTACTTCTCCCATTACCTTTTCAGTTAAGAACTACAAACATTTTGAAGAAAATTGTGAAGCATATCAGAGAGGATTTCAGAATACCTGGATCGAGACTCGATTCAAGCTTTTCAGCTGTAGTAGAGAACGTTCTCTTCAACCTTGGAAAAGCACTGAAAATTGGATCACAAAATTCCAATTTCACAAACTACGATAGAACGGGGTTTAACACGGTTTGTGTTTGTTCTTTAAAAAATTGAATGAAGACATGATGAAGTGAATAATATAAGTACAGACCACGCTAAACCACTGTCGATTTGTTAAATAGATCAGTTTTTGTTAACTTTCCTTTACATGCCACTGACTGTTTCAAAAAATACCATAGGAAAGATAGGTCGTTTTTCTCTTTTAAGACATATGATGAGCCAAACTTACCCCATTTACGACTTTACTGGTACTAATCAAGCGCGCAATTTCGTCGGTTTACAGTTTATTTTGCGGTCACTGAAAGCAAAAGTTTTTAAATTAATACTTGAAAAAATCGATAGGTAGAAATTCTCGAGCGTATGTAACCATGTAATATACAATTTGCGAAAAAAACGCGCAATTTTAAAGACGTCGACTCAAAACATTCCCCAAGTCGTTGCTTTCAAGGTCATAATTTGCATCCTCAAGTAACCGCTTTTGCACACGTTTTAGCCATACCTTTTTTTTTCCTTGGATAAGTTTTTTTTCCGTATCCTCCCGTTAAAAGGGGTTTATTTTTCCATAAAGTAATGCGATAAAAAATATTTATTACAGTCATTTTGATATAACTTGTGATCCTTGCATTCTGGTTAGCTCTCGCTGGAGCGATTTATTCACAAATCCCATCGTTTTATACTCTAGATCGCATCTTTTACCCAGTCAATAAGAAAGCTTCACACAACAACCGATCAAATTTCAAGGCTTTTTGAAGAACTCAATCCAATTACAGGTTTAACGAGAGATAACTTTTGCAACCTTTTACAAACCAGCTCAATGTAGTTCAATGACAGTATTTGTATTTGCAGCTCAATGACAGTATTTGTGCGACAGAATTTTTCGATTTCAAAATAGATGTAATAAAGCGAAATTTAACTTCGTGTCGTGCAATTTTAATGTGAAATCATGATTTCAGACCAAATTGCACCATACTCAGTTCAATTACCATTATATTCACCATGCTCCTTCAAGAGCAAAAGACCATTGTACCAGCTTACCTCAAACATTGATTGAAAAAACGATACTATGTTTTGGGAATGCGCGCACTTATTTGCCTGAAGTGACCAAATGGCACAAAATAACGCTGTTTATCGTTTCTTCATAATAAACTATTCTATGGAACCTGTATTAAGTGGTAAACTTGTATTTAGCGGTCATTACGCTACTCCCCGTGGGTTAGCTCGTAATACAGGTTTGACTGTAGCTTTTTAAGGATTTTAAAATAATAAGTGCTGACATATTTTCATAATGCGAAATCATACTTCATTTGAACTGTATGGATTAAAGTTGATCTATTGCTATTTCTAGAAAACAAGAATTTCAACAACCTAGCTTGATTCTTTATATGGTATAATTTATAATTACGTTTACTTTCTCAGAATATAAATGCAACAAAGACCCTTCTCTCCCTGAAGGATCAGATTATTGAAGTATTGCGCCTGTCATTAAAAAATGTTACGACGAGAAATTATACGATGCAGTCAAAATATTTGAGCATAACAGTTGTGTCTCTACGTGGTGGTGAAGTGGATAACTTCACAATTGTTGCAGGTCAAAGCAGATTCATAATACCTGATATAAACCCAGTTGGAGAAGTCATCTCGTTCCTGGAGGTAGGAGATAAGGTCACTTTTATACGTTGGATTTGTTACGCTAAGTAGGGACAAGAAATAAAGCTCAGTTGTCGACTTTGTTCCCAAGGTCCTGCGAACTCGCAAAGCCAAAGATTTGAAGAACTAAAATAAAACATTTGTTACTTATTATTAATTTTAGTGATTTATCATTTTACCCTGCTCTGGCAAGATTAGTTGTGCACTGGGGCGTTTAGGCAACAAAGGACAGCATCCAAGTGGACAGGTGCAAACAAATCTGCGGTATAACCATCTGCATTATTACACGATTATCACCCTGCACCTTAACTTTCGATCTACCTTTTGTCTTAGGGAGAATTGAGAGGACTTGAGAAGCTTGAAACCTCAACCCATGGCGGTATTATTAAAGAAGGAGGCTTAGTGGAACTCACCCATTTTAATTACATGTGTATCTCTTGTAGATGTGGACTACTCCATTCAACCCTTTCACCTGGGACCAAACTAGTGAGAGGGTGACGTCACATGTTGCAGGGCTAGAAGTGAGAGACGAAAAAGGAGACATTATAAACATGTCTGATCCCTCACGTGAAATCACCGTCATACTACCCCTTGACAAGAAAACAACCGACAAGATATTGAAAGGGTCCACCTATTACCGCAGAATGAAGATTAATCACAACATCACAGTTCAGTATGGACAGTCCTTCGTCAATGTCTCCTTTATGCCTCAAAGCAGCGACTTGGTCATCTCAAAGGTGAAAGTGATTTCAGCCACAACTCAGAATTATTCAGAATGTGAAAACGTTAGGGACAAGTGGATCAAAAGAGGCCGAATACACTGCAACGGTAATGTTGCTGTATCTTTTATGGCGATCAATCCCGGGAGGTACCTCGTTGATGCTATTTTCACTGTCAAAGAAAGTAAAATGAAGAAAATTACTCAGTCGTCCAAACCGGAACGAGGCAAGGCTACCTGTGTCACGATAAAAAATCCACCAGCAGTGAATGAAGTTAAATATATCAGTGTCCAAGTGAGTGAGTCAGCTTGCCTTTTCTGGGAAACAGAAACATCTGCTTGGAAAACTACAGGATGCAGGGTGAGGAGATCAGAATTAGCAATCAGTTGCTACGAAAAAAGTTAATAAATGCGTTTTATCACTCCATAGATTCTATCAATCAATGTCCACCTATCTGCATTTGCGAACAAAATTGTTGAAAAAGTAAGCTAAAAATACCGTTATCTTAAACCTGAAAGCAATGCTTCGCCTCCGTCCTCTTTGTCCCGACGGGAACAAATTTTTATCTCATGTGTAGCTACAGTACTTGCTAGGGATTCGTGAGAGATCCCATATCCAGAAAACAGCAAGGAGAAAGTTTACTTTGGTGTAAATTACTCTCTTTGTAGTACCATTTTTGCTTCAGAAAGGAACACATATGTCGTAAAGTTTGCCTTTACAACCGTACTGACTGTAGCTTTCTTTCAAAGGTTGAGAAAGTCATCAGCAATTCAGGTTTGAAATGTGCCTGCAATCACTTGACGTCGTTTGGTGGGGCCTATCTGGTGCCTCCAAATGACCTCAGTTTTGTCAAAGTTTTGCAAGAGCTTCGTTCACCAAATGACAGCGGAAAGTTCCTTGTCCTTGTTGTCCTTATAGCAACTATTCTTCTCTACCTGGTTGCGATCATTTTCGCAAGAAGGGAAGACCGAAGAGATAAAGCCAAGGTTCGTTGAAATAACGATTTCGACAAGTAAACAACTTGGCAAGATGTTGTTTTATGCAGCTATTTTTAGACACGTGTATTCTCTTTAGTATTTATTGGAAATTATCTAATATGTTTCTCTAAACACAATGAAGCGGTGTATAAGTCGTCAAAATAAGGTTGAGGCATACCTTTTTTTTCAGCAATTGCTCTTAAAAGGTAAGGTTTATTTTCCCATTTTGTGATGACATGGTAACAGCCGAATGGCTTGGCACTAAGAACAATCACTACACCCAAATCCCTAACATCAGTTCTGAGGCCAGTTTTTATATCTTTACAATACCTGAATTTACCTTAAACTTTTTATTTTAAGATACAAGATTCAGTGCCTCCAGTGTTCTATCGATCATCGGAGTCAGCTAATTGCCGTTACGAGTTGACTATTAAGACTGGTGTCTGGTTAGGATCCGGTACAACCGCTAATGTATCCTTCGTACTCTTTGGAGTCGAAGGCAGGAGCAGTACCCTTACCATTCAGCAAGACTTCTATGCTGGGTTTCACCCGAAGTTTGCCAGAGGAACCGAGCACAAGTTTGCCGCCATTTTAGACAAAGACTTAGGTGATATCTACAAACTTCACGTCAGCCATGATAACTCTGGTTATAATCCCTCTTGGTTTTTGGATTACATTAAAATTATTCCTGCTGGGACCGACAAAAGTTGGAAATTCTCATTTGACACTTGGTTAAGCTTGGAGGATGAATCTCTATCAAATGAATGCATCCGGAGTCCTTCCAACGCTCAGGGCAGCGTAACAGGTAGAGCATTACATGAAATGCTCTCCGATGGGCATCTCTGGATGTCGATCATAACCAAGACCCCTGGGAGTTGCTTCTCTAGAGTTCAGAGAATCTCATCATGCCTCTGTTTGCTCTACTGTACAATGGCTGTCAATGCTATGTTCTATTCCTGGAGTAACCAGCCCTCCCAAACAATCAACCTGGGACCGCTACGATTCTCAGCCCAACAAGCTATGACAAGCATTCAGAGTATCCTTTTTATTGTGCCGATTCACATAATCATAACACTGTTTAGGAAGGCCTCAGCAAGACCTCAGAATCGATTTTGGCGATGCTTCCTTTACTTGACGTGGGGCTTACTTTGCCTGGTGACTGCCATGTCGGCGGGTTTGACAGTTTCCTACAGTCTCATGTGGGGAAGCGAAAAAAGCCAAGAGTGGATTTCGTCGGTTTCTGTTTCCTTTTTTCAAGATGTCTTAATATTACAGCCCTTTAAATGCTTTCTTCTCGCTATGCTGTGGTCAGTATTTTCAAATTGCAGAGTCAGAAAGGTATCTAGCAGTCAACAGTTCTCTGGGAAAACTGCAGATGATAATCGAAGCTCGGCATCCACAAAGTCAAGTAAATTGTCTGCATCGAGGAGAAAGAGTGTGGCAATGGCTAGACGTCGCTTGATGATAAGACAGACTCTCTTTTACATTTTCTTTTTTGTAGTTATTGGTATCCTTACGTACGGAAAGAGGGACTTTTCAAGGTATCTGCTCTTCAAATCTTTGGCGGACCACACGGAAAGTTTTGAAGAGGTAAAGAAATAGATTGATAGAAAAGGAACATTACAACTCAAACATTCCCATACGAACTTTTATGGACAAACTATCTATCATAAGTAGATATAACGTGTACCTTTTTTGTTTGTTTATGGCTTTTAAGTATTAAGGTCTGTTAAGATTCTGTTGGTAGGGATGGATGATGCCTTAATCAATTTAGAAGAAAATAGGATGTATAGCAATAATTTTACTTTGGTAAAGTATTGAAATGGACTCCCATCTTATGAAACGATAACCAACCAAGACCTTAGGTATCATTGCATGTACACGTTGGTAAAGTAATTATAACTTTATGTAATATTTCAAAAACGAGTGCAAGTGTTTCATCGGGGTTTCCAAACACGAGAAAACTGATGAAAGCACGAGGCCGTAGGCCGAGTGCTTTATTGTTTTCGAGTGTTTGGAAACCCCGATGAAACACGAAGCACGATTTTTTCAAATTACTTCTCCAACAAAAAAAAATTAGTTTAAATTATCATTTGAATAAGTTTTCTCAATTGAAGTATTGTTTATGGTGAGCGGAATGTGAATTTGTCACCTACTTGCTGTATGCTGGCTACTGATAATACTGAATTTCATTTGTATTTGCATTTCACGTTGTTACCTACTAGTTGCATTGTGAGTATCGAGCAAGCAAGGTGCTTTCGAAGATGACAGAATATCGTTTTTGACAACCGAAAACCTTTGAGGACGAGGAAAAGTGTGTCGTTAATGCAGTATTAAAGTCGACGCAAAACAAAAACGAATGGGCGGCTCGTATTTTTGAAGAGTGGGCAAAAGCCCGATTTCCGAAAGTAGGAAGTTTGGAACCAGGTGGTCTTTTTAAAGAATATGATCTGCACAGAGTTCAATCGCTGGAAATTCCTTTATTCCAAATGGATGCTTTAAGCGTTAATTATTGGCTGACGAAGTTTGTTCAAGAGGTTGCCAAACCGTCAAAGGAAAGATACCCACCGAAGTTGTTTATCGCCACGTGTTTTTCTTGCTCTACCAATATGAAGATTAAGAAAATTTGCATCCGTGTTTGAAATCGTTTCAAACACGGCCGTGTTTTCAACTCGTTTTTCATTGGGTTTCACCAGAATAAGATGCTCTGGTTGGGTAAGAGCTGCATGAATAATTAATGAGTTTGAGAAGAGAATATGATATCTTCTATTTTGAGTTTGAAAACTCGAGTGTAATGTATTTCTGTACTAATTTTTGCAGGTGAAAGATAAAACATCATTGTGGAACTGGATAAATGGGTCGTTGATAACATATCTCTACTCAACAAATCAAGAGAGTAGTGAGCTAGCATCGACGGTGATCGGAATGGTGAGAATACGTCAGCTGAGAGTGAGAAAAGGTATACCTAATGGAATTTTCTTATTATTGAGCGCATTAACACATAATAACGATGAGCTCTAATTTTCTGCTTAGCTCAATGCCCTGCGGACAAAATAACCAACTGGTGGCAACAGACCTGCTTGGAGTCCTACTCTCGCAAAAATGAACACTCAGAACCTTTTCATCCGACCAAAGGAACTTCGCCACTCCAGTTTAATCGGTGTCCAATTCCATGGATGTACAAAACAGGAAAGGAACTTGGATCTTCTTCAAAATGGGGCCGCCATGCTTGGTATGGTGGCGGTGGGTATTTGGCTGAGCTGGGCTATGAAGAAGAAACTGCCCGTGCGATAACAAATCTACTGCAATCAGAAAGTTGGGTCGATCGTCAAACAAGTGCCATCGTGTTAGAGTTTTCGCTTTTAAATTCGGGGACAAACATTTTGGCTGTCTCGTCTTTCTTTGTCGAATTTCTCCCGACAGGCCAGGCAACGGTTAAAAGAAGCATAAATATCATCTCGCTGTACGACACCGAAGCCATCCTACAGATTTTTCAAGGGATGTGCCTCGTGTTCTTTATAGCCATGGTTCTCTTCATAATCGGCGAAACAATAGCACACATAGTTAGAAGGAGGTGGCGATACTTGTGCTCTTTTTGGTGTTTGCTTGATCTTGGTCATTTAGCGACATCCATTCTACTACTTGTATCAAGCTTCATGAAGTCTTATCTTACAACTACGAGTGTGCTTAGGCTGAAAGAAAACATGTTTGCACATACAAGCTTTGAAACGCCACTCCTATGGGCAGAAGTTGAAAACAGTCTCCTCGCCATTCTCACTTTCCTAGCAACGTTAAAGCTGCTACAACTTACCTATTTTAATTTCTACACGCGATTGTTCTCTTGTGCTCTTCGGATCTGGATGCACGACCTTCCCTCGTTCTGTCTGGTCTTATCGATCATATTTCTTGCATTTTTGGAGATAGGAGTTTTAGTTTTCGGTCCATCCATCGGCAGGTACTCGAGCTTTTGGCGGGCCTTCGCTTTCCAGCTAGAGATAACTCTTGGCAAAGTGAGGACTCGGCCCATAAAGGAACTAGCTGAAGGTGTCCCAATTTTCGGACACGTTTTAGTGGTTTCGCTTCTTTTTAGCATTACCATAGTTTTAATGAACTTTTTTGTTTCCACCTTAAATGATGCCCTCGCTGAAGCTAAGACTGCGGAGATGGATAAGGAAGCTGAACAGGCGATGACTGTTGGGCGGCCTGTGAACATAACTGTTGAAAAGGCTGACGGAGTTAACGTTGCACCAGAGAATAAGGATAACGGGAGAAAAGGAGAGAAAATCCGAGGAGGAGAGAAAACTGAAAGAGGGAGTCGCGCGATATTATTTGATAAAGTCAGCAAGGGTCTCAAAACAAAGGCTTTCTTTGATGAAATCAGTGAGCAGCTGAAGACCATTGATACCCTTCAGCTGCCCATACTCCGTTTAAAGGTAGATAAGGTTTGCAGACGTATTGAAAATGCCATTGCTAATGAAATCGATACTGGAGAGCCATCGACAGTCAATCAAAAGGGAAAAAGGAGAGTACATTTTGGAAGCAGTGTTAGAATACCGTTTACGTAGCACCGTTACCTCTTTCCGCATCAGGAGGAACTCTAAGAAAACAATTTTGAGATAGTGCGATATCGTTTGTTCTTTACTAGAAGTTGTTGATCGTGCCAGAATCTTGATTTGATCAAGAGAAACCACTGTCTTAGCGATTTATTCAGTCATTTTTCGCTCATGTGGCTTGTTGTGTGAACTTTTTCAAATGCGTTTACATAGTTGAGATTAAGCTCTACGTATATTTTATTTGGCACCAATCTGATGTCGATTGTAGAGAAGCATAATTGGCTTTGATATTCCATTTACCTGCAAGCTTCTTCAGAAGGACAATCTTCCTGTTAATACGCGGGAAATTATTGAATACAGTAAGTTTGGATAATACAAGCAATGTGCGAAAAATTGAGCCTTGGGAATTCCCCTCTTTAGTTTTTATAAATACTTACTAATTTGTTCCTGAGTATTCTGAAGCAGACTCCTCCTCTAAACTGACGAATACCGTTTGGCCGGGAAGTAATGATCACCTACTCTGATGTAAGTTTATTGAGATGAAATCGAAGAAAGGAATCCCATGGCTTTATTTTCTTATATTTCTATGATGTTGTGAGTAAATCACATTACAATAAGATCATAGCTCATGCATTACTGGGTCTGGGAATTTGGTAAGTTTCAAAACTGACCAATCTGTGATGGATTTAGCAACAACCTATAGCAGAACTCAAGAAAACACCAAGAACAAGGATCTATGACAGAAATGGAAAATTAATGTCATATTTTGCAATAAGCGTGACTTAGTATGGGTGTAACTTCTGTTATTCAAAAGTTGCTAAATGGGGCACGATTTTGCCAAGTTAACATTAGTAACTGAGACTATATACGATAGGCTGGTCCACCAAATTGAGGCTGTAAATATGTTTCTGTGTTATCTTGGATCAGCGAAGAAAAGAATTGTGATTTTGAATCAGTATTTGTCAGAATTAATTGTTTCTTTGTGGAGATGGAGCGCAACTTTGCCTTATCGTCACCAACTTATAAAAAAGTCGGTTGAGAAGACTTGATTAGCGACGTTGTATGGATGTTAACTTAAGTTTAAGCCCAACTATTTGTTATAAGTCAATTTGGTAAGATTTAGTAGTATTTTAAACCAAACAAACAGTAAGCCTTGACGATCTGCTTTTTTCTTCACTTAAAATTTAGAGAAAATGTCACTATAGGCGAAGCAATGTTCTGCGGAAGAAATTCGTTGTTTGATCACTTGACGGATATTAGCTATTTGACGGCTTATGAATAGGGTTAGAAGGAGATTAATAAATCATGTATAGTGAACAGTGCACCATTTTTTAAGGCTTTATACTAGGTTCAAATTGCATAATAATAAATATTTTTCTCTATTCAGATATGTAGCAAGGAGTACTAAGTAGCGCTAAGTTTTCCATCACGTCAATGGAAACATATCCTTGATTAATAATCATATCTATGGGACTAAATTTTTAAATGATTAATGCTATACTATTAAACAAATCTATAGTGCAGCCGTATGACTAAAATATAATTAAAGCAAAATCCTATTCACTACTCATTTGTTACTTGATATTATTGTAAAAATCAAATTGACTTGAAATTCTTCAACATATAATTATAGCGTCTTACTTCTGGTCAATCAATTGCCAGTTTGACTGAAAAACGTTGCCCTACGCTTGTAAATCGAAATGAAGATCACGGTGAGGTAGAAGCAGAGGGGAATATTCGGCAGTGTGCTGATCACCACTTTTGAATCAAATAAGAAAAGAAACTTGTATCGCAAAAACAATATTTCACCTTAATGATAATAATACTAATAATAATAACTAATAATAATCTTTATTACTTCTATTGCGCCTTTTCTACACAACATTCAAAGGTGCATCACAGCGTAACACTTTCGGGGGAATTTTAGCCGGACTACATCAAGCAGTTTACAATATCGATCGAAGGGAACTTATTTGGAGATGCCCCCTCCCACCAATTCCCAGTAAACAGGTCAGACCACATCACAGTAATCTCGTGAGTGGGTTCTTTAACGTCCCCTGCCTAACCAAATTAACTAATTAATAGATGCAGGACCTACGGTTAATTCTTCCTTATCTGAGAAGTCTAGAACGTCTACTTATTTCTTGATATTATAGAAAGGTAGCACATTCTCCTCAGTTATTTTAAGACCTTGAGTGTTGTTCCGGCCGGGGCTCGAACCCTCGATCTCCCGCACAGCAGTCCGGCGCTCTCCGATTGAGCTAAATACTAAGAAAAGAAAATGCCGAATTAATTTAACCGATGGTTTCCCATATTTATACAATTCATGTGAAAGCTTCCATTCAAGTCACCATGCAAGTTCTGGTAACAAACTCAACTGAGGAAAGAAGACCTGACCCTATAGAACAACATTGCTATCAATAAAAAATTGCACAAGACTATGGAACTAACGCTAAGCAAAAGGGCAATGCATATTGCATCAATGATGGTAGCTGATGAAATCCAGAAGAAAGTCAGACATCAAACACACTCAATCAAGAATGTAACAAAGTTGGCTTCATGGAAAGTGAGCACATGGTAGAAGTGCTGAAAGTTAGCCGCGGCCCAAATCAGGGACGAGATCTTCGCATATGGCTAGTAGCCATTTGTCAAATGGAGTAGCTAAACAAGCACTAATCAGCTGGCTACCACCAAACAATCGTATCATAACTGTAAGATTCCAGTGAAAAAAACGTCAAAATATATCGTAGCCCTCTTGTGTACCAAATCACGTACACAATGTGGAAGTGAAAGACGATTTATACCAAATATTAATAGAAGAGCTCCTCCATATCTCTTTATTGCTCCGATTTAGGAAATACAGAAAAAGGTGGAGAAATATTTTTTTCTTATTTTTGCCTTTGTTATTAACCTTAAATTTAATGTTTCGGATAAATTCAAATTCCTGAAATAAATTTTCTAGGATTAGACATCTTTGAAAATGTACTATAACAGAGTGTGTCTCCAACAATAACTTGGTCAAATCAATTCAATCCCTTAGCGTAAGGGATTCAATTCAAAATCAATTCAAATTCAATTCAAAATTCAATTAATTCAATTCAAATCAATTCAATCCCTTAGCGAGGTCCATTTTAACCCATTTTAACCCATTTTAACCCAGGTCCATTTTAGACAAATCTGAAAAACTTCCCTGTCACCTAGTAACATCATGAGCAAAAACATTGGTGGTACTTTAACCTTCTGCAGTGTGCCCCTGTCTCACAGGACGAATGTTCTTATTTCAGTGCCTTTAGGCAAAATCTAAAGCAGTCTTAAAGGTTGAGTAAAGCTTTAATCGTCTTTAATTGTCAAATGAAATATCCGAAAGCTAACTCTAACCTTTAATGAATCTTTAATTGAACATAAGTTTAACTTTAATAGCGCAAATCTTTCAGTATCCTTTAAGTGGTTTCTTTTTTGGCACAAAAGAGGGTGTTTCATTAAAATACATTTAAGTTGACTTTAAGGTGAGATTTAAATGAGTATAGCTGTTCTGACATCTTTAATTCATGCATTAAAGATAGTCTCATTGTAATCTGAACTGTCAACAGAAAATTCATCACAAATCAGCCAACACTTGCACTGATGAGCCAGAAGAGCAAATTTTGTTTTACGTGCAGCAACGTGAGCTCACAATTCTTTCTGGGGTCGAAACATCTTATTGAAAGCGACGGCTTCACTCCTCGCATGGAATGCGATGACAAGAAAGGAAATGTTTTCTGCGCGCGCTTTATACTAATGACCTATTAACGTTCATAATGCAGGCGCTGAGAAAAAAATTTTTTTTAACTCAAAATACTGACTTCTTTACCAAACCCATGCGTGTTACCGGCTTCTCTCACTGTCTCGGTCCCATGGTCGGTTAAGGTTGATAACCGTGCTGGTGGTGGCTGTTTACTTGGCAAAGGTCCGAACAGTCTGCCTATTTATATTATCACTGGGAAATGAATCCTTATATCCAATAAAAAAAAAGTTAGTAACCATTTTACAGTCACGAGATGGACCGAATAAAGCCACTCTTTCCTACAAAAAGTTATCCCTAGCACAAAAATTGGATCATTCTTGTAAGTTCCACATTACGTCATCTAATAGCAGACAAAAAATAAAAAATAAAAAACACCTAGTTAATTCATCGCACATAATTGACTGTAAAGCATTGCATTCAAAGTAACCTAATTTCCGAATAGGAGACTTTTTCTTTGAAAGTGATAACTACCCTTGGCTTTTATTAGAGGCCTAATGATCAGTTTTCCTCTCCTAGGTTAACCTCGGAAGCAGAGTTTCTCTCGGACTATTAGGATGAACAACACTTTACGTGAAACGGCGTTCGTAAATTCCCCACAGAATCGTTGAAAAGACCACGAATCTCAGTAGAGTACTATCAAAATGATGCAGTCTGGGCTTGCTACCATGACGACATTCAGAAATTTGGAATAATTGCAGTCGACGTAGACCATCATTGTGAGGTAGTTTCACGGCGGAGAGGTGAGCGCCTTCAACGTATCATGTGACACAGGGAAAACCTGCTCTTTCTCGTAATTTAGGGGCAATACCCGGCGGCTATTCAGGCCAGCATATGAACTCCAAATAATATGATTCAATCCAAAAAATGCGTTGGACACTAACGTGACCTTCTTAGGAAAGAGAAGCCTAAAATGCACGAGATACCAACATAACAATCGATTAAAAGAGAATCCTAAAAGTGAGCGAGATACTTTCGAGGCAATCGAATCTAAGTAAATATTAAAGATACACGAGGTACTAAGTGAAACGTAACTTTCTAATGAAGGAGTATCGCAAAAGAGCGCAAAACACTAACCTAACGTTCAATTAAAAGATAATTCTGAAAGGGCGTGAGAAACTAAACTATCAATCGAATGAAAGAAAATCCTTAAGGTGCGTCAGGCATGAACGTGACAAGACAAAGGTGAGCGAAAAGACTCACGTAACAAACGAATGAAAGAGAACTCTAAGCGCGCCCGAAAGACTAATGGAATTGTTACTGCAGCATTCCCACTTAGTAATTTCTTTTTTACGTTCCCGACTACATTTTTTGTGTTTTGCACGCACATTTTTCTTATTGTTTTCGCATTCTTTTAACTCGCGGCGATTTATATTCTGTTAGATTTTTCCGTATAATTTTGCTTTAATTTCATTTGTATCAGCTTCTCGGTAAAATTGAACACTGGAGTATCAGAGCCCATTAGATTCCTTCACTGCGTTCAACTCTTAGTCTTTCCGTCCTTCATGCCCTCAAATCATTCAACGCTTGTCTGTGTCTTTCCTTGTCTGTTGTTTACATTTTTCTATTTCTTCTACTTGTATTCTGTATTAAATTGGAATCATTTTGTTCCGTTAGCAACCGCGATCGACCGTAATGTGAATAAATTTTAAAGCTCGTGTTGAAACCTGGCTTTGTTGGCAGTTACAGGAATAGAACCATTTTACACTGTTAGTGTGGGAGAAACTAACGTAACAATTCAATGAAAGAAGATTCGAAAAGTGCACGAGATACAAATAATCCATAAAGAGAATCCTAGAAGTGGGCAAAAAACTAATGTGACAATCCGATGAAAGAAAATTCTAAAAGCGCGCGAGATACAAACGTAACAACCCATGAAGAGAATTATAAAAGTGCGCAAAAAAACTAACGTAACAAGTAAATCGTAAAAGTGTGCGAACTACTGACGTAACAATCCAATGAAAGAGAGTCTGAAACAAACGCGAGATACTAACGTAACCACTGAATCTGAGGTAATCCCAAAAGTGTGCGAAAAACCAACGTCTTAGACCATTGAAAAAAAATCCTAAAAGTGCCCGAAATACCTACGTCACAATCCAATTAAAGAGAACCTTAAAAGTGCACGAGATACTAACGTGACAGTCGAATGAAACACGAGGACCCTATTACTGGTATCTCGTTCAATACGATTCACTTCATTTCGTCAGCGAAAGACCATTATTCATATCAAAAACAGAAAAATTTAACTTCCAACCCTAAAAATATATCCTCCCAATAAACGTCGACCGTCAAAGGTCCTGAAATGTAGCCGTCAACCGTCAAAGGCAGAAAAATTAACCATCAACCAGCAAGCTTGAAAAAATTAATTGTCAGCGGTCAGAGCTGCACCCAACCCCCCCTCCACCAAAACACAGAACCAAAGTACTCCGATCCCCCCCCCTCCCCGCAAGAGGTGAATAAAGCCTGGTCCATTATCCTTTGGAAATTAAGATTGCGGGCACTTTTTAATACGTAGCTCATTCTACGTATTATTACAAATGGGCAGACAGTGCACATCTGATTAAGGTTTCTATTTATTAAAAGAACTTACCTTAAAGAGGCGGGGTATGTTTTCAATCACACCCAAGTGTACACTTCCCTCAAACACTCTCTAATAATCCTTGTAATGACTGCACTGATTTTTTACGGTACCTTTATCGGTAGCTTAGGTACAATAGGGGTACTAGTAGCTATTTC